GAGAGATTATATAGATAGTTCTTTATATTGTCGGTCTGATCGTATTTTGTGCAGTTGTCAGATGCCGATATCGTCTTAACATCCATTTATGGAAGTCAGGAAGTAATCCAAGAGACATCCATGGAAGTAACAGACAAACTAAATATGTGAGATCTGATATAAAATCTTCTTGAATTTCATATAAATAATTCGATGGATCTATCTGTTGAATAATACCAGTAATAATCGTAGGTAACCATATTATCAAATAAAGACTTGATATACTAACTAGTTGCAATGTCATTCGTCGTTGTTTCGACCATGAAAGGGCTTTTTGTCTACGAGATTTTTGTTTAATAACTCTTATAATGAGTAATATATTGGCCAACATAATAATAAAAATTGGTAAACTACTATTTACTATCCAGTCATACATAGCCAATATTTCATTATTTGAAAGAAAGCAAATAGTATCACCACACATATTCAATGTAAAATTCCATTGTCCCTCATCACATGGATAGAATACAACAGCACCCATATAGAAAACAGTTGGATAGATAATGCAGAATAGAAGTGGCAAATAGTATAGAAGATAGAGCTTCAATCGTATATAAAATAGATTTGGTCGAAAGACCAACGTATGTCGTTGAATAGATATCATAGCCACGAGAAAATTATTTATTGCTTCAAGAGTAAATTCAATATACATCCAAGTTTTACAATATATGCCTGATGCTGGACTAACAGCTCTGAGACGAAGAAAATGCATGCCCATCGGTATATTGACTATTAATTGAATAAAATTAATAATGAATAAGATTAAGAGTGCTTGATATTGTAGTTTACGTAACTGAATGCGATTAGTAATGAAAAATAGAAAAATGAGAAGAAAAAGAATAATTGCTGGAATTTGTAAGAAGAGAAGTAGATAGAATTTAACATCATATATAAGATATCGTTCAGTTGTCAATATAAACATCATGTTAATAATTAAAGTTGGAGTAAAAATGAAACGTGAGAAATATTTTTCTAATATGCTTTTACATTAATAATATTATTCTCATGTTAAAGTTTTCACATCGTCTTTTTTCTTTCCCTTAGTCTATCTCTCTTTCTATATATACATTTATATGTCATTTGTATTAAAACATGACCGGAAACGTAAAAGATAACTATGACTGACAAGGATCGTCCTTGAATTTATTCTATTTAATTAATTTAACTATTTTCGACTTACCTCTTTCGAAAGCATGATTTAATCAACATAAGTAATTAGCATTGTCAAAATATATGATCGTATATTTAATAAAAAAGATATTAGAAATTACAGATTAAAATATTAATATATTGCGTATCTCAGTATAATTGATAATTACAGTTTTTTTTCTCTGTAATTATGAAATGCATTTGTATCAAGCGTTTAGGGTATCTAAAAGCTTCGCTATCACAAGAAAACATATAGCCGAGAGAGCGTTAGTTTTTGATGAAAGGATGTGAGTGTACTTCGGTGCGAAATTGTATGCCCACATCGACATCCTTCATTTTATTAATTGAACTAACGAAAAACAAGACACGAGATGAGAAAATAATAATAAGCGATACATTTGTCAGATAAATATTCATTATTATGAAATCTCAAAATATAATTATCACATATTTAAATAAATAAGGAATATAAAAAGATTAGATTTTACCAAAAAGTTTTTCTACTCGCGATATATTAAGATTAATATTGCCTTGAGCATTAACAACATTTGGTAACATCCAATAAGATTGATCAAGTAATTGTGATTGAGTATATAAAATATAACCAGCACATGCTTTAATATCATCAGGTCGATACATTGAACATGTCATTGGTAATACACTTGATTCTTGTCTATATGGCATTATTTCAATAATAGTTGTTCCTGATTGTGCAAAATTCATATTTGATAATGCACCACTATGAACACCAATGATTATTTTAGCATTATAAAAAAGTTCTATACGTGAACGAATATGATCTTTATCTTTTGAATGATCATATTGAACATAATTTAACGAATTTTTTAAACAATAATCACGTAAAACTTTTATAAATGGTTCTTCATTTAATATAAGACGAGCACCATTCATTGCATTCTTTGATGTTCTTTGAATATATATTAAATTTTTTCTTTTTACTTCACTTTCTCGATTAGGTATACCAGATATTGACCAATACATAGAACGAGCATCTTGCCATAAACGAGGATGAATACCAGGAGTAATACATGGATTTATCAAAAGACGAGCACCAATTTTCATATTTGAGGTATAATGAATTATTCGCTTAGAATCTTCCACTCCTAGGAAAAAATATATTAATCTTCTGTAAGATATTCATTAAGACTTAAAAACAAACCTAACATAGACCAAATTTCTTTGACAGATCGATCGAATCGAATACCTTTTAAAATAATAACTTTTGCATCGGGATATTTTTGTAAATAAGACATTGAATGAGCTAATTTCGGACCAATACCATCAAGAAAATGTTGAAAAGCCCAACCATCTGGAACAGTATAAATAATTGCTTTATCATAAATCACAGTTGTTTGATCAGCACTTACAAATGTGCGATTAATTGCAGTAGTTTCATAATTATAACCACATTTATCATTGATATAAAGACCATTTTTAACAAGAAAAACATTAACGGATAGATGTTCTTTTGTATCATTAAATAAAACACCTTTTTCTTCACATAAACCTTCTGGACATTTTTTTGAATTTATTTTATAATAAGTTGAACTATAAAACCAATTTTTTGCTTCATCATCAGAAAAATTTGGTAATCGAATATAAAACGGTTGTAGAGAATAAGATATTTGATCAATTTCATTTTCATTTAAAGATGAACTAGTTTTTGAATGTAATAATAAACGATAAAGTTCATAGATAACAATATTCACACAAATAAATGTAACGATTAATTTAAATAAACGAAGTGGACGAAAATACATTGTTGTTTTTGTATTTTACTAATACAGTTCTTCAAACATGACTAAAATAAAAGATAATTTATTGACTTTTCATTATAATACAAATAGAAAGTATATAAAATTCGAAAATTTACCCTATGTGGTTTTATTTCAAATATATGTATCATATTACAATCATTAAATTTGTACAGATTATATTCAGAACTATTATTAGTCTCTTGTTTTTAACTTTGAAAAATACATAATTTGACTTCATTTAACTGGCATTGTAAGCAAAAGAATGATGATATTTAAGTATCTAAAAGTCAGAACTTTAAAACAAACATCAATCTCTGAAGTTTGATAAACGAACAACTCGATTTCGATACAAATACAAGCTGATAGTAGAGAGAATCTACACTGATTTTGTAACAATGCAAAATTTGTGAGAGCATGAAAACTGGATAATAATAGAAAAATTTTCGATTAAATCGAGTCTGCTCAGCCATAATGGCTCCACTGTCTATGGGTTCTTTTATTACGTCTCTAAAATTAAATTTTTTGGTGATTTCACCTCTTTTTTAATCCAATACATCGTTGCTAAACGAGTCTATTTTACTCATTTCTTTGTCATACAGTAAAAAGGAAACGAATACTGTTTCGATGTAAAATAAAGAATACAGTTGTTAGTTCGAAGAGTGTTCTTGAAACAGTATGGAAAGTATATCCTAAAACTTAGATGTGATTTCTAATAGCACTATTTATTCTAAAGAATACGATATAACCACGTCCTTGAGCAAAAATCTGTCGCACTCCCTCTCTTTCCACTATCTTACTTTGCATCAGATTTATGATCAAATAAAGGTACAACATAAGAGCTTTTTTTGGTGAGTTATATATTATATTGAAATAAAACTCTCACTTCATATTTTTACTCGGCAATAAATCTGACGCAAACTGTGATAGTGTAGATGATAAGGAGAAATGACTTGTATAAGAAGCTATAAAAAAGTCAAAGAAAGCAGATATTACATCTTTTCTGTCGAAGCGATTTAATTTCGTTGCTTATGTTGAAGACTGACTCATATACGTAACTAGAAATGATTCAAAGTAAAATATACCATCAGCGTAGTTATTAGTTTCTAGCTAATTTGAATAAATATGGTTGTCTATGAACAAACAAATTTACGGGAAAAGAACGATTGAATTTAGAATCTTTCGTCTGTTTCAAAAAGCACCTTACTATCTTGATACAAAAGAAATACATTTATACAATAGTGAATAAGATGTGTCATGATAAGAACGTGCACAAACGAATCGAAGTATGGAGTAATGAATGGCCATTTTTTTCTCACAATATTAGACTATAATATAACAATGCATATTCTTATTTATTAAAAAAACGAAATGGAACAACTGAAATATTTTTATAAAAATATTAACACCATAAGTAGAGATTATTATCGACTGTTTTCAACATATAATCATCAAGTAATGCTTCCGAACTAATCAATGCGTTTATTCTTTTGATCCAGATTTTTCTTCCTCCGATAAAACATAACGAGTGGAGATATTTGTTAGCATTTTGTTTTCGTTTTTCTAATATAAATTGTACAGCTGTTTTCAAATCTTGTGCACAGATATGTACCGTTAGATTCTGAACTCGCGGATATAAAGCCATAAGGACTTTTAATTTATCCAATCCATATCGTCTTCTAAAAGTTACATTTGTAATAATATTCGTAGATGATACTAATTGAAAAGTTTGATTTTCTTCAATAGACTTAGAATCAGTTTTGTAACGTGGTAGTGAATTGAATTTTATTGTATGAATATTAGGTGCGAAACGTAATAATTCAATTAAATTTGTTACAGAAAGATAACGACAGTCAAGAATCAATTTAGTAAGATGTATCAATGGTAAAACACGGTTGAGATTGATTGCACTCGATTGATATTTATTTGAAAAACCATTTTCCAGAGTAAGTGTAGTAACATTTGGAAAAAAGTATTTGCAATTAACTAGTTCAGCTTCATTTTGAATTTGAACATCTTGAACAGATTTTAGATGAATTGTTGGAGTATTGGGATCCATTATTTCGTTAAGTCCACCACGTAATGTATAACTCTTTCGTCTAAAAACAAAAAACCCATTTAGTACAAAGAAAAATTTATTCTACTAATACCTATATGGATTTGTTGAATGAAAAATTGTTCGATTACTATGTTGTTGTTCATAATATAGTTGTGTAAAAAACCATTGTCGTTCGACCCAAAATGGAGATCTAAACTGTTCAATAGGCACATGGAATATCACCTGATGAATATCGTTATTATTAAAAATAGTAGTAGTAGTATGAATAGGCCAATGTTCATGTCGAATATCGAATATGCGTAAATTTGGCATATGAGACAAGATCAATTGTTGCCATTGCGTAGCATTCGTATATCTTTCATCTACAGCAAAACGTATTAAAATATGTAAAACTCGCACTGAATGAAAAATATCTGTAATCATGCGTTCAAATTGATCGAAGTGTATCAAACCCAAACCAAGTGACACATGTGTTAAATTGTTTAATATTATTGAATATGTTTTTTCCGAGTGTCCTATGAGATGGGATACATTATTGACATGGAGACGACGAAGTTTAGGAACATAGGATAATAACCATGCAAATTGATCAATAAATATAGTTCCGTTAATGATTAAATGTTCGATTGGACTGGATTCTTTGATTATAAATGATTTTAAGTTATAATGCGAGCATCTTTTCCATGATAATTGACAAAATTTTAATGCAGATAAACTAAATATATGTTGGTGAAGAATGGTTTCATTTTGAATATAGCCTACATCGTCGATAGATAATGAGAAGAGATGTGGCAAAGAAGATAATACCGGAAGTATGGATTCAACATACGTAGATTCTATGTTATCAAGAGTAAGTTTTTTTAGATGTAGAAATTGTGATAGAATGCGAATCGGTGAAGAAACATGATCATATAAACATGGACTCGATATATGAAGTGAATGAATTCGATGTTTATTAGGTAGAATGATATCTTTATTGTATTGTTCAAAATTCGATTTTGATATAGATGAAAGATTGATATCAATAGGTAGAGTGGAATTAGTAATAAGATTATTGAATCGTGTATTCAATGAGTAAAATGCTTGGTAAACATGATAGAAATCTAATAATTCAAATATTTCATAAATTAATTCATTGGACAAATCTTCAAAATCTGTGATGATTTCTGTTGATAGGCTAAAATGAACATAATTTCGTTTTTTAACAAATCGCTTCACTTTATTTACCGATCTGTCGTGACTAAAAATAAATTCAAATATTAAGAAAATTACAACTTTAATATATATTTTACCTTCTGTTTTATTTCTTTTTTGGTTAGGATAATTATTTGAACTTGTACTTTGTTGACGTTTTGATTTCTCCATGATCAAAAATAGTACTATTTGAAAAAAGAAAAATAATTTTTATTAATAAAAGCAGAAATCGATGTAAAAAACGTGTGATTACACAATCGATGAAAATACAGCGTATGGAAGAAAAACGAAAAAAAAGAATCATCGGAATACAGAACGATGCACGCTTTAGAAATATATACCGATTGATACGAATAGAAGAAAAAAAATACTCGCCAGTTTTTATATTTAGTGATGAGTCATACGAAATGCGTATGTACACCTATCGTGCGAAATTTAGTATTGGGATAGAGTATCAATATGTAATTTAATATTTTTTTTCAGAACGAAAAAAAAAACGAGTTCATAACCAGTCATTTGTTTGGAAAGACGAGAGAACGAAATAATTGTTTTTTTTCTACTCTGCCATCATTTATGCACCATTATGTTAACAACACAATTTAATCTGTTTGTTTTCATATATTTATACATAGAATGTCACATGTATGTGTTCTCTTATTTTTCAGTCACATCCAAACGTTTTACATTACTAAAACTTCTACTGATATCATTTTAATCAGATAGAATGTCAAGCGTCAATCAAGAAAGTAATGTTCTTCACGATGCTTATGGATCATATACATCATCACCTCCAATGCCTCCAGTTCCTCCATTTCCATGTACTGTTGATAGTTTATGCACCGCTGATAATCGTATATGTAAACAACATAAATACATATTATTTGTAAAAATTCACAAAACCGGTGAAACAATTGAAATTCCTTATGGTAACTGGGAAAATTGGTTATGGTATAAACAGCGTATTAGTGATCGTACGGGAATTTCTATCCAAGAAATGCGAATGATTTATGCTGGAGCCGATAGAGATGATTTAAAAAGACACAGTGGATTACAATATCAAAGCACTATA